CACTACCTCCCTGAGTCAGGATTGGGTAATTTGCGCGCCTGCTGCCTTCCTTGGATGTGGTAGCCGTTTCTCAGGCTCCCTCTCCGGAATCGAACCCTAATTCTCCGTCACCCGTTGCAACCATGGTAAGCCACTACCTTACCATCGACAGTTGATAGGGCAGATATTTGAATGAAACATCGCCAGCGCACAGGCCGTGCGATTCGATCAGTTACTATGATTCACCACAACACCGGGCAGAACCCGCATTGGTTTTTTTACTCTAATAAATACATCCCTTCCGCAGATAGTCGGGACTTTTCGCATGTATTAGCTCTAGAATTACTACGGTTATCCAAGTAGTAAGGGTACAATCAAATAAACGATAACTGATTTAATGAGCCATTCGCAGTTTCACAGTACTAGTGCTTATACTTAGACATGCATGGCTTAATCTTTGAGACAAGCATATGACTACTGGCAGGATCAACCAGGTAGCTATCCGCACGGAGACGTCCCCGACCCTGAGCCACTAAGCCAAGCCAAGGGTACGCTCCAGCCACAAGCCTCTTGCCGTAGCCGACGAGGCTGGACTTTCCAATCACTTCCGCACTTTCTGCGCTTTCTGCACTCAGCCAAAGGGCACCAACGGAGAAGGGCACAAAACCGCCTCTCCTTCCACCCTAAGCAAGCAGAACTTCTATGCCACGTCTTTCTGCCTACCCAGTGCGATTCCAAAAGCATGCTGTTCGAACGCCTATCAGTCCGCAGGATGCAGGAACGCACGTCAGCGAAGGAACGCTCGCCTTCCTTCCAACGATGCCAAACACATATCTCACCAAAGGCCATCTCCTACAACGAGCCATCACCTTCTTCGATGTCTAAGGAAACATCGTTCTATTCCTATCAGCAATCTGGGCACGACGACAAAAAACCTCACAAACTGCTTCAGTAGTACTCCAGGGCGCTTGCAAATGACGCGGGAACCGTATGTGTGACGAACAGGGCTTACTGACTCGCCGGTTCCCTCGCTCGCATTAACCGAGCTAACGAGCCCACCTGTCCCTACGTAGGATTTCAACGTCTTTTTGTCCGCACAGCTGAGGACACTTGGAAAAAATTGCCAAAATTCGAATTTTTTTTTTTTTCGACCGACCCCCAAAAAGTGGTACCACCTCGAAGGGTAAGGCGAGGCGAAACTGCGCATGTACGTTTCAGCTCGCTCGGGCCCAGTCTTGCGCGGCCACACTGCAAAAAAAGACCATTTTCTATGGGCAGGAGATCCCCTCAACGACCTTTAACAAAAAAAACTATTGACGCCAGCAGCTAGATCTCATAACTTTTGATTGACATTTCACAGTTTACGCCCACTCGGCTCAATCCCCGCGCGGCCAGAGCCAAGAAACCCTCTCTATGCCCAGGAGACCCCTTAGACGACATTTCAAGAAAAAAATTTCTACCTCAACAGTTGTATATAATAACTCTCGACTGACATTTCGGGGTCTACGCCCCCTCAACCCAGTTCCCGCGCGGCCAGCGCCAGAAAACCGCTTCTTCCTGTCCCAGCAGAGCCTTTTAACGACCTTTTCGACCTTTTTTTTTAATATCACCAGTAGGTAGCACCGGTCCATGTGAACTTCGTCCCGGAACATCAGTATCTCAGGTCCAGTCCCCGCGCGGCCAGCGCCAGAAAACCGCTTTTCGATAGGGGAGAAGAGCCCTTTAGCGACCGTTTTCGACCTTTCTAACACCCCCAGCAGGTAGCACGAGTCCATGTGAGCTTCGTCCCAGAAAATCAGCATCTCGAGTCCAATCCCCGCGCGGCCAGCATAAAAAAAACCGCTTTTCGAATGGGGGGGAGAAGAGCCCTTTAGCGACCGTTTTCGACCTTTTGAACACCACCAGCAAATAGCACATGTCCATGTGAGCTTCGTCCCGGAAAATCAGCATCTCGAGTCCAATCCCCGCGCGGCCAGCGCCAAAAACCGCTTTTCGAATGGGGGGAGAAGAGCCCTTTAGCGACCCTTTTCGACCTTTTTTGAACACCACCAGCAGATAGCACGTGTCCATGTGAGCTTCGTCCCGGAAAATCAGCATCTCGAGTCCAATCCCCGCGCGGCCAGCGCCAAAAAACCGCTTTTCGAATGGGGAGAAGAGCCCTTTAGCGACCGTTTTCGACCTTTTGAACACCACCAGCAGATAGCACGTGTCCATGTGAACTTCGTTCCGGAACATCAGCATCTCGGGTCCAATCTCCGCGCGGCCAGCGCCAAAAAACCGCTTTTCGAATGGGGAGAAGAGCCCTTTAGCGACCGTTTTAGACCTTTTTAACACCACCAGCAGGTAGCATGTGTCCATGTCAACTTCGTCCCGGAACATCAGCATCTCGGGTCCAATCTCCGCGCGGCCAGCGCCAAAAAACCGCTTTTCGAATGGGCAGAAGAGCCCTTTAGCGACCGTTTTCGACCTTTTGAACACCCCCAGCAGATAGCACGTGTCCATGTCAACTTCGTCCCGGAAC